GCTCCCAACCCCGAAATCACCTAACGAAGCTAACGGAACTATCGGATTTCCGTTCCGAGGCCGTCTTCACACTGTTCTGACTATTGACCATTTTCCAACACTTAAGCTCTCATTTAGGGACCAAGTGTCCCAGAACTCTTCGAAACTCAAAATCGAACATCCCGGCAAATCAAAATGGCAGAAATAAACTTGGGGAAAGCAGTTAATAGGGGATCGGGGCGTTAATTCTTAAGACGGCCAGCCGGGTCGTCACAAATATCTGGTCAATTGAGAAGAACTTGAAACTCTTTTGGTATGAAATAAAGAGATACCAGATGTTGGATACATGGTCTGGTACTACTTCATGCATCGTTTTCATGCTCAATGATGAATGATATTACCATGAACAGAACAACTGAAATTAAAGAGAAGGTAATATATAACGCATGTGTCATCAACATACCTTTGCTATCAAGCACACAACAGGAAGATATGGATAACTTTTGTGGTTAGGCATTTCCTCCTCATCATACTCTCTCGAGCAAAAGTATTAATTAAGTACATTTTTAGTTAACAAAGAAAAATTTAATATCACATCGCAGAACCGGGTTGAGGTATGTTCCCTACCCTGGATATGCAATGTCGATCTCCAACTGACTTGGCCTTCTCGGGCTTTTACATCATCCCAGAACTCTTTTATCCACGTTGTCTGCTCCACATTTCAGGTAAACCAAACCAAAGATTGCCAGATGGAAGCAAAGCAATGATAGGTCATCATATAAGAGGAAAACAAAACCATGATGAACACTCGCTAAAAAGTAATCAATGTTGAGAAGAGAAGAAAATCACAACGAACATTAAAGTGTTGAACAAAATTGAAAAGAAGCTCGAGTTGGCAAGAATGTGATACATATGGATTAACGTAAGTATTGATATCTAACAATTTCAAGGATGTTGGGATATCTTAAAGCATAGATCTCTAGCAATTTTTAGGATGCTAAGATATCATATGTGAGATTTATTTGTCTCCAAGAAATATCACCTGAGCACTTGAACAAAAGCCATGGCATCATTAACTCGTTTACTGAATCAAATAAAAAACCATCTATTCCATCCAAACCAAATATCTCTTGGATCAACTTCCTAGTAAAAAGAACTTAAATCATAAAATTATAACTTATAATAGCATATTGGTACAAATTCAAACTTATGGTATAAATTTAGTAATACAGAGCAAAGATCAGCATTTCAGTTTGACGATATTACTCATATACACCTAGGATATTCAAGGTCATCAAATAGGGAATTGGCAATGATGAGTATACTAAAATCAAAGGCTCGAAATTCCAACTCCAAATAACCAATTACTAAATATAAAGGAAAAAGTTTATAGCTTTGGTGCATTGCAGCAAGTAGCGAGAAAAGGTAGCCAAAAAAGGAGTCACATATCCATAATGAGTAAATCCAAATTTTCCAGTTTATGGTTTAAGCACCCAAGGCTCCTATTTAAACTTACTTTCATCTGGCAATTTAGAGGCACTACCTATTCACCGGATTGTTGCACTTGATTAAAGAGTACATTTGCGAGGTATTTTGTTATACAAGTGTCACCGCAAAGGTATAATATTTATCTAACTGCTTAAGAGTTGTTACTCTATCCAAAACAGTATCCAATACTTCAACCTGAAAGTTTGAATGGATCTCCTTAATAAGAAGATTAACAAGGGTTGAGTGGAGTATAAATATTTTCCTCCTCATTTTTCTTTTTCAAGTTATGGGAAGTCTAGAAATTTACTCTAATTTTACTTGAAACAACTGTTTATCATAGCTCAAAGCCTCAAATAATTGAGACCCATATAGAATCAACAAGAGCTAACAATCGTATTAATTACGCAATTTGTGCGATGTGTTATCTATCTGAAAGTAGAAGCACCATTTATGTCTTATAAAGGCTTAAGAGAAGAAGACAAAATCAACCCAAGTCTATCTACAAAAAGTAACAAAACTTGAGTATTTCAAGATATGGTACCTTACCTGAATCCTCCTCAATATCTCAACAATGGGTTAGGAAAGCTCAGTTTGAGAGTGCTAATAAGGTCTGTCTGTCCTCAGGGTTCATAAAAAATTATTCTAAATTTATAGGAGAAATTCAAGCGCATTCTAAGATGTTGGGATATATACTATTAACCATGGATTTTGTTTAGATATAGTATTTATTATGATAATATTGTTCATTCAATTTTAATAAAGTTTTAATAGATCATATATTAGTCGGTGTCCTTTGCTTATATAGTAGATGATTTAGTGTATAGAGTTTAGCTTATACACGGAAGATTAAATCATCGGTTCTTATAAGTATAAAGTTTGAGTTCACAATCTAATGATAGAATTGGACAAACCATCAGGAATGATTGTAGCACAAGATTAAATATAATTTATCTTGATTATGGGAATGGTTTAATTCCAACTTCTTGTGCTAGTACATTTTGTATGTATTGAACGGACCAAGTAGAGATAAGTATTTTATACTGACTTAATAAAATAAACTCTCTAGCCATTAAATGTACTTATATTTTTAATCTTGATATAATTATTATTAGCTGTGTATATTATTATTGTTTTGATTTATTAAAAGGCGAGATTCTTTCGTGGGTCAATATGCCTGGTAAATATGATAATAATAATGTACATTGGCGAAGTAATAGTTAGTTGATGGAATCCATGTCTCGGTTTAGAGATTGATGATACACCTTTATGAAAGCTTATAAGTTTTCATGTGTAAACCCGGCCGGTGGATTTTGTATCTGACACATGAAATAAGTTAAGCGAAAGTCTAAAGGAAATAATCAATAAATTAAATCGTCAGTAATTTAATTTAATTGATTAGTATCTGAATCTTAACATGGGGAGTTAAATAAGATTTAATGGATGAATTTCGAAATTGAATAAGGAGTGCAATTACGAATTTTTAGTGGAATAATTCGTAATTAATTATGGTGGATATTAATTTCGAAAATTATAAATTAATTCCATAATTGGAAGCCTTGTTAATTAAATTCTGTGGTCCCTGCTGTGCCTAAATAATAGAAAATAAAGGAATCCTTTTTCTAGTGGAAAAGAAAACCCAACAGGTTTTGGAAAAGGGTTTTAACCCTTAAAACTTGTGCTATAAATACATAAGGTTTTCCACCTAGAAAGAGGAGCATATGGTGGCCGAATTTCAGCCCCTTTTCCTTAGAAATTTCGCCCACACGAAATTACTATTTCCGGGTATTATTTGGGTAACACAGTAGAAGACCGTGGAACGTTCGGAGATCGTGATCGTGCGGGGTATGGAGAATTCATTGAGTTGCTGTAGAATTGGAGGCTCGCGTGATAAAGGAGTTTGCTCACGCTTCAAGAGGTAACCAGTGAAATCCCGTTTATGCTAGTGGTCTAGATTACATGTGATTTTGATACTGGGATTGCTTCCGCTGCATATATTAATCCATCATAAGTAAGCATTTGTTTAGATTTTTTCTTTCTGAAATTAAATTTTATTTGGCTAGCTTCATTATACTGTCTAGTTGTGTGCAATCATTGTTCACTGGCTATTTATTATAATTGAATTACTTTAAAACTACATCTGTTGTCTATAATTCTTGTAACTTTTTCTCAATTAATTTCGCATGCAAACGCTTAATCCCTAGTTTAGAATACTTACTGCGTATGTGGAGTACAACGTCAGCTTCAACTAGTGGTTTCAATATAATAATATTTAGTTTTTATATACTATATATTAGGTAAAGTGCAATGCCAGTAATGCATACAATGGATGAATAAAGAAGATGGTGCTTCTCTGCATAAGAAACTTTCTATAATCATTATCACTCTGAATACTAAAATTTTATTCCATGTTTGAGACATAATCAAATAAAGAGAATAAATAAATCACAGCATACACTTAGAATTACAATTTTGTCCTGTATTAAGATATCCTTTTGGTGGTCAGTAGTCACCAAACTCTATAGATGAAACGGATGTAACTGAAAAATTGAAATGGCCCATCAAATGTTTTCTAGGGTCGAGACCAGCTACGGCTAAAGCAGCGAACTTGAATTATATAATTGAAGCTATGTCAGCCATTCTCAAGCTTTACGGTGTGGACAAGCAGGCAAAGAGGGCAAAATTGGTTCTATTGAACTTATTGTTTTGAGCTCGATCCTTAAGTGTATAGGAAAAAAAGGGAATTATGCTTGTGTGTGTAGATATATATATATATATATGCCTGCGCCAAAGTCATTCCGAATCCACTAACTCTAAAATTACGAGTTACCTCTAATTTCTAGGCAACTAGGCTGAAGAAATTAAAGAAAACGTACCTGAAACCATTCTACGAGAAGATTAGCATTAAGCCAAGTTTTGATTGCATCTTCAAGCAGTAGGCCTCTTTTCCTGAAGATAATGGGCTTTGGATAAACTGCTAAGCCCCTTTAGTCATTGTTTTGTTTGCCATTCGGTGTCGAATACTCATATTGAATCCCTGACTAATTCGAATTCACCTACCTGGACTTTTTTTTCATTCCCAGAGCTTGAATCCAAGACTTTTGGTTAGAGGTGAAGGAATCCTATACATCCCACCACAAATCTCGGTGGTCCTATGCTATGTTCAAGGTTTTAGTTCCTATGATGAAATGTTTCAGTTTTAAAATAAAGACATTGTTAACAATGAGACAGGGACTCTATCCTTTGGTATTTGGGAATTCCAATTATGTTTGCTTTATACTGCAAAAGATGTCCGAGAAAATAAATAAAGAAGTGCAGCATCAGCAAAGATGAGCTTAGCAGTGGCTGAACATCATACTCAAATTGCTCCTATTTGTTCAATTATTTAGAGAAACAATTAAGTTTAATTTGTAAACATGAAACACACATGTATATTTTAGAGAAAAACATAGAATATCAGTCTTACATAAAACCCCAATTCATGTCTCAGTCTTACGGAAATGCATAAAATGATTCTCATTGACCTCTAATAAATAAACGAATGCATTTGATCCTGTTTTCGTCAATTATATACTTCTGAAGATGTCCACAAGACCACAACAAAAGAAAGTTACAGCAAAGGGAGACTAAATTTAAATCAAAAAGTTACAACACTCGGGTAACATCGTGAAAGAAAAAAATCAGGAGATAATGTTGATAGGCAAAGCCCTTGATATTACAGATACATTGGCAGTATTCTCTCTCCACTATACAAATTGAAGGTGGATTCTGTTAGCGGGTGTGTTTACTTCTGTTAAAATCAAATGCCAATAATATAGAATACAGACCACACACTTTCTAAAGATAGAACGAGAGTTCTATAAATATAAGAAAAAATTATTAGCCAATGCTTAAGCGAGAATCCAATGAACGCATGCTCGTTTGACGCCTTGGGATTCCAATCTCACAAGCATTCACTCTTGCTGCAAATCGGAGAGAACACAGGGACTCGCCAGTAGAAGAAGGATCCGGTGCAACATTGACAAACATCAACGTCTTCGAGTCACCACCTAGACAAGGCTGATTAAACATGCAACAGTCAGAAAAAATATACTAAAAAATCTGCATTTAGTAATGGCACAACTGAACTGAATAGGACACATTTCAAAATCATCTTTTGGAAACAGATGCACAGTCCATTGATTCTGCCTTAGAGCTCAAATAAATCAGATGGAAGGCCATTCTTCATTTTAAATTGGGGCTAGAGCAATTTTACCTGGAGAAGATATGTAAGCTTTGAGTTCCTAAATGGCACATGCTCCTCTTTCTTTGCAAGAGCAAATATAACATCACTTAAAGACGATAGACTCTTGTTGATAGCCTGAATGAAAATCAGACAAAGTAGAGAATTGGTTTAGCAAAAATTTCTATCAAAACGGGAAGTTTCAAGAAAAGACAGTTGAATCAAATACCTGAGTTTCTTTCAACCTATCTCCAGTAGACCCACTCTTGGACAGACGCTCACTGCCAGCAAGATCAATCAAGTTGAGTACACCTTGCACTTGCTGCTCTGTGCTCTGCACATGGATATGAAACTATTAGTCAATATAAAATTCAAGTCCCGAAATAGGCGTCCCAAATCGGAATATATAGACAATACTTTGCCATGAATGTTCTCACCTCATTAACACCGGAAATTCTCAAAGTGAAAACAAAATGACTTCTTGAAGAATTCTCGTTCATCTGAGTCTTGCCAACAGACCTACAGAACACACAAATTCAGTAAAGCAAGGTTTTACAAAACACTTTTTGAGTCCAAAATACAGGAAATAAAAGTTCCTCACTAGTTAACCCCAAATATCAAATAGAGGTATTTTTAAACAGCATATTTTATGCAAAGGCTGATGACAGATATAAAACTGATATTAGAAAATAGATACTGAGAAAAAAATAGAAGATATATTTTCATACCTGCTTTGTGCAGCCCGCCTTAGAAGAGAAGAAACCTTGCTACTACTATGAACATCTACAATTGTCAGGTCAGAGACATGGGTGTTGCCATTTACATCATGTTTGATTGTATATTGCTTTCCGCCGTTTTCTGGTCTGGAAGCATCGAAACCTGACAAAAGGTCCCGAATTGTCTCGTTGTATATTTCAAGCATAGAAACCTAAAAATAATATGGAAGACAATATCAGAAAAGAGAAACAAGTAGTGGGAAAAACGATATCAAAAAGAGAAACAGACTAAGTAAAGAGATCAAGAAGAATTACAATTTCTCACCTGCATTTCATATTTCCACCCTTGTGCTTGAAGAGACTGTCGGGTCTCAAATACCTGTTCTAAGGTGCGGGGTATTAGTCCTTTATTCTCTGGACTTTCTGGGTTGCCCATCATTGTATGTGTCTTGCCAGAACCAGTCTGACCATAAGCAAATATACAAACCTGAAAAAAGAACAGGACAATCAGCTAGTGGATCACTTGCTTATGAATTGAATGATTTGACATATCTAAAGGAAATGAACCTTTTAATCCCTCCATTTCATTTTATAAGGCGGTGTTTGGTTGTCGCGGAGTTTAAGGGGGAAACGTAAGACTTATGGCACATTCAAAAAGTATCCTTAGTAGTACTTGCACACTTGTTGAGTTGTTGTTGCACTAGATTGTGCACCCCCCCCCCCCCCTTCAAAACGTATCCGTTACGTAGTACTTGCCGTACTCTTAACACTGCCGATGTATGTTTTAGTGGTCGTATTCAGTTAGACGGGTAAAATTACCCCCCCCTCTTCATGGGGTTCCCAGTGTGATCCTCACTTGCTCGGATGTTAAGTTTAAAGTTAAAGAGTTTTAAACATAGAAGGCCGGATAGCAAAGTTAAAAAATATATTACCTTATAACCGTCAAGAGCACTCTGTACAAGTTGGGATATCTCAACAAAAACATCTTGTTGTGAAGCCTCGGGCGTGAAAACTTTGTCAAATGTGAAGGAATGCTTTTGCCCTTGAGTAATAGAAATATCAAATCAACTTTCACAGAAATTAAAGCGAAGTTAAAAAGAAATACAAATTTTATCTGGTTCAATGCGATAGAAACAAATACTGACCATTTTGTGCCACGTCAATCCCTCTCCCTTGTGCTTCCATTGAGGTAGGAAAAGAGATAACATTGGCTTCTGTACTAACACAGTCTTCAGATAATAAAGGTCTCACTCTACAGAAAACCCGTATGTTGCCTTTCAATTCCTGCATTAGAAAGATTTGTAAGTGAATCTTAGGTGAACTTTTAGGATAGTTGCATATCATGTCTGCGAAATTTACCAGTATAGTATTGTGCAATTTTTTCCGAAGTTTCTCCCCTTCCACAACTTTTGTTTCTGCATCAGCAAGACGCTGGCGCAAATCAAAGATCATTTTCTTCTGCTCCTCATATTCTGTTTTTGTTTCAAGTGCTGACATGTCGGACATCTGACAGAAGTGTTAAAATATTAAGAGGAATGTCATTTAAAGCTTATGAGGTATAATGGAGTGTAGAATTTTCAGAAAGGAAAATGAATGTCAATATGCACAGAGAAAGTGCATTTTCATGCCAAACTGTAACACACCTGTAACCTCTTCTCCGCAAAAGTAAGTTTTTCTTGCAATCTGATTATTTGTTCAGATTGAGACAGACATTGTGCCTGAGAAAAAAAAAATCAAGAAATATGGCTATTTACTACAAACAACTATTGCTTTGAGATGTTCAGACATATAAACACAACCAGACGGACCTCCAGTTCGTTTGCCCTTACTGACATGTTCTCTAACTCAGCAACAGATTTCCCAGTACATTCCTTACATTTTTGTAATTCAGCATTTAGAACCTGGACTTGATACAACTGTTGATCACGATCATCCCTCATCTTTTGTAAATCTGCCCGCAAACATCCAACTTCATTTGCTAAAGTTTCTTTTTGTTTCACAGCCTCATCTTGAACAGCCTTTGAAGTCAGAAAGGAAAAAGAGGAATATGATTCAGAAGATAACAAACAGCAACCATTTGTCTTCTTCAGTTTACACAGCAAATGAAGAGATGACATTGGAGAAAAGCAATAAGCAAGCAACTACTGCCTTGGAGAAAAACACCATACCAAGAAAAACCTACAAATCATAAAACATCATCTAGAAATTTGACTAGTTCCCATATTGCCGTCAAATTCAGGTACCCGGTCATACAGTTAGTTGTTGGTACAGGTAGCAGAAATAACAAACTAAGCTTCAAGCAAAAGAAAGTAGTTTAAACACTCCTGAAATGAAGTGGCATTTCAGATTGCTACAGCGTTACTTCACTATTTGCTCGATATATAAGTGCTCAAAAAGAGGAGATTGAAAAAGAAGCTGCATAGATGTTGCTAACAATGGCAAAAAGAAAACAAAAAATGAAAATCCAAAACTTACTCTAGAAGAAGAGAGCTGTTCCTGCAAAGAAGTATAATGCCCCCTGAGGGTGCTGAGATTTTCAACAACTGCAGCTTTCTCCTTCTCCACACGCTTCAATGTTTCATTTGTTGAAGCAAGTTCAGACTGGAGCTTACTGTTGTACTGCTGTAAACTTGTATTGTACTCCTGTAACCGCTTGTACATTTCATTTAGTGATTGAATCTGCAGATATTATTAAGCACGATGTAAGTTCAACAAAGCAATTCACAACTATAATCAAGCCAAAACAATACCTTGTACAACTCCTTACCTTTTGATTCGCACTTGAATTGTCTTGTTGAGATCTCTTGAGCTCTTCAGAAACTGAAGCTTGCAGTTTCTCTGCTGCATCTCTAGCCTCTTTCTCCCTACTAAAAGAATCCATCGCTTCCTGATCAAATTGTTAAGCAATTCAGAGACAAAGTTATATTTTATATGCTACAGGGGAAAGCTCCAACAAAGATCCCAAGATAAAGAAACATGATCTTTGCCCTGCCAGTCCTACCAATTTGGCTGACTCCTCTTTTGCACACTTCTCTTGCAGAGCTTCAATAGTTTTCCTTAACTCCATTATGATTGAGTTCAATTCTTCCTCTTTGGCTTTCATAAGCATCTCTAACAAAACGCAAAAGAGCTAATGTAAGTCAGTAATTCACTGGACTAGTGGTGGAGCGAGAAAGTTATACAAGGGGAATCATAAAGACACTACAATGTCACACCTAGAATTTGAACCTTGATCGAAAGCAATTTTTGACCCCCTTCGCCACTACACTAGAACTTTTCTTTATATAAAGGGGATTCGACAATTCATAACTTAACCAACAAAACTTATTTTTTCTCAATTTGCACATACAATATTTCGACAAAGGGGATTCAACTGAACCCCCTTATTCCAACATAGCTCCACCATGCATTGAACAACACTAAGATATACAAGAGGAACACACAATCATACCCATCTCGTTGCATTTCTTCTCTGCTGAGTCTAGCAAGGTTCTAAGTGATGCCTGTTGTGTGACATGGCTTTCTTCAAGCTGCTGGAACCACTTAACGCATAGCTTAAGTCTTCTTATGTATTCTGACATGAGATCGCACTTTTCCTAATAGAAACAATAGAAATTTACACATCAGTAAACATGCAGCATAAATCTATTTTAGCATTTGTCTAATTAATTAAATCAACATATCACACCTTAGTGTTAAACTTGTTCTTAGTTTTCAATTTCTCAGCGAGTAAAGATTCAACATCCTCTTTAGTAAACTCAAAGGCGGGGCTATCTGAACCGGCAGTACTCGGCGGTCCACTAGTAGGAATCAGATCTGGTTGAGCCACTGCATTCACCAATGCAAATGCTTGCCTTGTTGGTCTACCAGCGGTCGTCGGCATTCTCGGAATCGCAATTTTTCTCTTCTTATCTACTGATATTTCATCTGTTGCGTACTTACTCTGCAAAACCCAAAAATTTGGATACATAAAAGCGGAAAATCAAACACAAAATATATGTAACGGGAAACCATACATACAGAGGAAAATAGAATGTTGAAAGTAAAAGCTTTGCTTACATTTGAAGGGCTAGAAGGAATTGGGGCTTTGTTCTGGTTCCTAGGAGGAGCCATTTTGAAAAAAAATTGTAATTACGAAATGGTAAGTAATGAGAAAAAGAGAGAGAAGTTAAAATCAGAGAATTTGATTTCGGGGGTGTGGGACTGTGGGTCCGTGGATTGTAATCGAAGCTATGAATACACTATCACTACCGTTGCTTTGAATTGCAGTAAACTGAGAAAGACACACACAGTGATGAATTTAGAAAAAAGATTTAGAGCAAGAAAAATATTATACTCCAATTGAAGAAGAGAAACATCATCTAGGCTCTCACTCTGCAACCCTAATTGGTAATTTGGTCTGTTTGGATCGACGGAGGTTAGGGACGAAACGACGTAGTGTCGAAGAGCGTACGCTGGGGACTGAGGAGTATTTGAATTTTTTTGAAATGAGAGCAGGCGCTAGGGGCATTTTCCATTCGTTGAAATATTCACTACCAATTATACCCCTAACGGTCCATTTAATATCATTACTTGGACCCTTTTTTACTTTTTTTTATTTTGCTTTCATTTGAAAATATCAATTTCATGTCTCATTACAAATATTAATTATATGATCTTTTCACAAGAGTTCAGTAGAAAATAACACAAATAATATTAAAACACGTGAGATTTTTATATGGTCATTTTCTTCTAAAGGAGATCATTTCTTCCTATTATATTTTGTTACAATTTTCTATTAATCTATTTTTAAAATATATAGTAATTATATATTTGAAAATAATATAATTTTAAATTTTTTATTTTACCTAGAGTGTCCATATTTTATAGACACAAAAATCTAATTGACATTTAAGGCTAGAGGCGGAGCTAGAACACAAGTTACAGATTTGACCGAACTCAGTAGCTTTAATCCAAATTCGATATTTGTTTAAAGTAATCAATTGAATTTAAGAAATCGACTGGACGGTTGTCCTCGAGGCTCCACATGGCGCTTAAAAATTAATTACGACTATCAAAGTATTCTACTACGTATGTATTACCACATCTTTTGTATATAATTATTTTATCATTTAATTGTGTACTATTAATTTATTTTAGATTAAATTACGTGACACTTTTATATTGCGAGTTTATGACTCGTGAATAACCTTATTGCATTATGGAAGTTAACCCTTGAAAGTTGAAACTAATGATATAGAAAGTATATTCAGAATTGACTCATAATTATGGAGTATGCAACTATTCTTCTTAAGCATTTTCAACTGTGATAAGAAGAACATTTGTCCCAATGTTTTAAAAGGCGGGGGCGAGAGGCGAGGCGTTTTTACCTCTAACAAGGCGAGGCGTAAGCCCTGAGACATGGGGCGTAAGTCCCACAGATCTTTAAATTTTACTAAATTCAAGAATTTTAAGATATTAGATATTAGAAAATAAAAAATAATTATAAAAATTACATTAAAATCACAAAATTATACAAATAATCTACTTAAAATATTTATAATAATTCAACTATGAATAATACGAAACATATGACATATATCATAATATGCAAATTAGCTCCAACGTCGTTACAACTCAAATATCACAAATAATATGTATTCAATATGAAATCTTATATGTATCTCTTAAGGAGTAATGAACCTTGAAAAAATTTCGATATTATAATCTGATTTTTTCTTAAAATACTCCTTTTATTTAATATCTTTCTACTTGAAAGAGAATATATATAAAAATATAATTCACAATTTAAATATGATTCTCTAGCATCATTTATTTTTAATTTTCAACAAGGTAATAAAGTGACACATAATTCATCATACAATACCATGATAACTAATTATTTATAAATAATTACTAGCTAATACTGAGCTATTAAATTAATAAGTATTGTATCTCGTAAACATGAAAAGAATAACATTTAGAAAAATAATTGTATAAAAATTTATGGACTATTATATAGTAAAGACATAACAAAAGTTAATAAATAAATACTTTTTAAATGAAAGATTTATTTAAAATTAATTATCATAGCAGTCTTAATGGATAACGTACAATAATTTTTATTTTAATTATGACATAAAATACTCTCAACTTAATAATTTATGATTAAGAAAAAAGTAATTTTAAATAGTCAATGATTTATTAAGAAAATTTGAGGATTTACAAGGTTAGTCGCATATAATTGCATAAAGTTCAATTAGGCGAGCCCAGTACGCTGGGCGTTGAGCGTGTCTGAGGCATAAGCCTTGATGGCCGAGGCGTAAGTCTCATGGAACTGAGCCCCACACATAAGCCCAGGGGCGTTTTACGAGTGCTCCGTCCCAGGGCGAGTCCCAATTATGCCTTTCAAAAACAGAGTTTCTAAGTGATTTCAACTTAATCACATTAAGTTAAAATGCATTTCATAACATAACAAAATTCTTTCTTGACACTTAGATATATAATAACTGCATTAATACAGAATAAAATGGAAAAAAAATTATTTCAGACAATAAAAATCAAGCTCGCGTGGTACAACGTCAAAAGCATCATATTTTACTTTAGACTTTTTTTGTATAATCTTTTTTTATTTTCTTTAAAAATATTTTTGTATGTTGACTACTATCTGGTAATCCATTGTAGTTGATATAAAACACATTACAAGAATTGTGATAAGATGAATATGATCCTTTTCATCGGGCAAGACAGGAATCGAGTTCAAATCTTGGTAAGAAAAAAAATCCTCACAGAAAGTGCTTCTCCGGGCAAGAAGTGAATCTATATTATTGGCGCCCTAATGCAGATATCGAACACAGAGTGAAATCCCAAAAAAAAAAAAGAAATTGCAAAAAGCACGACTCTGTTTGATTTTTTTAATCTATATTCACCTTACGAGGGAGGAATGAGAAAGAGAAAAAAACATAAGTATAAGAAAAATAATCATCTCGGGCAGCTAATTAACCTGCCCGAAGTTCATCTTCACTTCCCCAATCTATCCTCTGCACCTGTATATAAACCCCACAAAGCTCTGAGTCCCATAACTGTCTCTACAAATTCTCTTGAGTAATTCCTTTGTTTAAGCATTTCACATTTTCCCTTCAATTTCTGGTACTATTTTCATATCCTTTTACAAAAATGGAGGCAATGAAGATGAAGATGTTCGTCGTTGCAGTCATGGTGATGATGGTGACCATCTCCGCCGTGAAGGGCGTCGGTGCCGCTGATGCTCCGGCACCTGCTCCAGCGTCCGAAGCAGCCATTTTCGTCCCCACCTTCTTCGCTTCCTTTCTCGCCCTTGCATTTGCTCTTATCTTTTGAGCTACTTGTTTGGACTTTATGAGTATGTTTTTGGTAATTACTGTTTGTGGGTGGATTTGGAGTTCTTGCTTTGCGACTTTTGACGAATCTTCGTTAATCTATTTATTTATTTCCAAATGTTAGTAATATGTATTTCTGGGTAATATAATGGGAAATTAGGGAATAACCCATAAATATCTTGACTCTGGTCTGGAGTTTGGTGTTCAACTTTTATTTAAGCATTTTCTATTTTTATAATTCCATTTTTTGCTTTGTTCATTTAGTATACTTGATGTTTTTTTATGAGACGTTTTAACCGTTTGGATTCAATGTAGTCGTGATTATGATTTTAAAATTTGGAGGACTACTTTGAAAAGAAATGCTATTTGGGGTGGGTGGTGGTGGTGGAGCAATCTTTTAGTGGCGGTTTAGATAATATTTTGGTCGAAAAGAATTAAAGGTGAAACTAAAAAGTAATATTATGAAGTTAAAATTATGCTTGAACATGAATTTCACTTGAGAAGAAGAAGTAATATTTCTCTTTATGCTTTTTATTTTATGTTTAGCACCTTGTTTGACCCCCCCCCCCCAAAAAAAAAAAAAAAGAAGAATCTTTCAAGTATTCCACAATGTTTTTATATTATGATTTTAGTGGTTTTGACATGTAGTATCTTTATCAAAACTCTTTTACCAAAAGAAGAGATAGAACTTAATTATTTAATGTAGTCATTTAAATGAACTCTTTTTCTGAATTTCATCAAATGAACACTCTAATTTGAATGATTTTAGAGGGAAGTTATGGGCGTTACGTTATACTCCCTCCGTTCACTTTTACTTGTCACGGTTTGGTTTTTTACGTCGCTTAAAAAATAATAAATGAAGCGCAATTTATCATGATACCCATATCAATTGATGCATATTTTTAATGATTTTGAGAAAATATGCATCAATTAACATATATATACATTAAAAAATTACCTAGCTATATAATTTATCGGTACAACTTCCAAGCTTATTCAAGGGAATCAATTTATACAAATATTACTCCCTCCGTTTCATATTAAATGAGGTACTTTCCTTTTTAGTCTCTTCCAAAATAAATGACACATTTCTAAATTTGAAAATAATTCAACGTTAAACTCCTCATTTTATCCATTTTACCCTTAATGAGAAGCTTTTATAACCACACAAAAGTCATGTCCCCACAAAGCTTACCCTTTAAGCTTTTAAGACCACAAAATTCAAAAGTCTTTCTTTTTTTCCTTAAACTCCGTGCCGAGTCAGACAACTTCATTTAATTTGAAACAACGGGAGTATATATATATGTTAACGTGTATAAATTGTACATCTTTTATTTCTTAACTTAATGTAGTTTCACTATGTGATCATTTAGTTGTAAGGTTTCAATCGTACCGTCCTCTAGATTTTTTAACTTCATATTCTTCACTATTTACGGACGCATCTCATTTAGGGTGGGCATAAAATTCGAAAAATCAAATTCCGAACCGGAACGAATTAATTCGGTATTTCGGTTTCGGTTTTTTTCAGTATTTCGGTCTAATTCGGTATTGCAATTTCGATATTTCGGTACGGTCCTCGGTATTTCGGTACGGTCCTCGGTATTGAAATTCTGAAATTTCGGTTATCCGAAATACCAATTTATATATAAGAAAAATTTCTGCACCGAGGATGAGGCGCTTATGGCTTTTAACCGTGAAATGGATGCTAATTCAATCCAAAAGGAAAGAATATCTGCTTTATTGCCATCTGAATCACTAGAGTCGATGTGTACGGAGACCATGCTTCTAGCTGAAAAGAAGATGAATGAATGGATGGCTGAGTTGGATGCCATTGCAAGGGAAATTGAAGCAGAGTTAGCTCTAAGAGAAATAGGATGCAATTTGGCTGAACTTTTGGATGGAATTTCTTTTTAAGTCAAGGGGTTTCAAGAGGTCATCTGTTTTAGCGAATTCAACATGTTCATACCTGCATTCAGTACTTAGTTCTGGACAGTGTAGTGGTATATCTGCTTTTCCTAACCAATATTATCATCAGTTTTGGTATTTCTGCAAGTCTGAAACTTCATACTTTTATCACTTAATGTTCACTTAATGTTTATGTCACAATTTGAAATAGTGCTTACCTTATGTGCAGCAATTTTGCTTCAACAGCTTAATTTCAGTAGTTGACAGACGCGTATGAAAAAGCAGCTTAATATTGAAGCAGAAAATTTCTGATATTCATATTGAATTCTGCTGTGTTTGCATAAATTTTAGTTATGCTTTTTGATATCTCACTATTAATCACATGTAAGCAAGTTAACAGAATCTTGTTCTGCATATGTAAGCAAGTTAACAAGGCTTGAATGTATTACAGCAGTGATATGTTTTCATATGTAAATGAGCTTCCTAGTATATATAGGAATTTCAATAGCTTCCGGTGGGTTCCAAATGCTTCAGCGTTCCTGTATACATTCTGCCAGAAATTTCATATTGAAGCAGAAGCAGTATCGAAATTTAATATTTCTGACTTTTAGTAGTTGACGCGCCTATATTTTAAATTTTACTCATTAATGTATCAAATCGAAACCGTACCGAACCAAAATAAGAAATACCGAATCGTATCAAACTATTTTGGTACGGTATTTGGTATACACAATTGATAAATCGAATACCGAATTACCGAACCGAAGTATTCAAATACCGAACCGAAATACCGAACGCCCACCCCTAAATTCTCATTTTAAAAAAAAAAATTAAAACAAGAAAACGAAAGAAAGTGTACAACAATGAATTACTTAAAGAAAATTTCTGAAGTAGGGGTCTCTATGTTGCTTTCTATGTTCTTGAATGGTCGAGTAAATTAAGAGAAGAAAAGAAGTTGAAGTGAGTGTTGACTTGACGCCACAAAGTTATATGTCAATTGTTGTAAAACAGCCATTGGAGAGAATTCTCTTGGCATCAATTGATGTGTGACTCTTCAATTGCACGTGTACTACAATTTATGCTCTTGTTGAAACTGCAGTGATGATCTCATAAATATAATGCTACGGAGTATTAAAATTTAGAAGCATTACGTAGGAGTGTTTGGCTAAGCTTAGAAGCTGGTCAAATTAATTTATAATTGCACCTTTAGCTTATCTACGTATTTGGTAAACAGTCAAAATGTTTATAAGTCTAGTGTTTATAAGCTAAAATCAGCCACAACTCATAGAGCCCGTTTGGATTAGCTGATTTGAAGTAGCTGATAAGCATTAGGTGTTGAAAAATACTTTTAAGTGCTAAAACAGATTTAATAAATAAGCAGTTACGTGTTTGGGTACAAGTGCTGAAATTGATAATAAGTTGCTGCAGTATTTGATAAAAAAAGTGCTGATAAGCTCTTTTTCTGTTAAAGTGACTTAAATAACCTTAGAACTGTTTACATTTATAAGGGTGTAATTTCTTCAAAATTTTACATTCCAGGTCGATTCAAATACAAAATATTCTATTTATCATTTTATTTTAAATACAACTGTGCTTAGATAAGATAATTTTTATGATAAATATAATTTATTTTATGATAAGCATATAATCATAAGTTATACTCCCTCCGTTCCAGTTTATGTGAACCTATTTCCTTTTTGATCTGTTCCAAAAGAATGAACCCTTTCTAAATTTGGAAACAATTTAGTATAAACTTACAACTCTATCCTTAATGAGAAGGTTTTATAACCACACAAATACTCTAGACCCCTTTTTAACTTGTTTAGGACCACAAATTCCAAAAGTCTTCATTTTTTCTTAAACTTCGTGTCCGGTCAAACAGGTTCACATAAATTGGAACGGAGGGAGTAATAATTAATAAATTGACAAAAGTTTCTCAGTAAAAAATAAACCTAAATAGGATAAATTATTTGAAGAGAAACAAACATTGTCTTCATCACCACAACATTTAGAAAGCAATACACCAAAAAATTTGATATGTCCTCATTTATTACATACAGTTCAAAGATTAATACACAATCACATAAATATAAGTATGCAAAGGAATAGAGAATTTGCTTATCTTAAATAGTCAATGAGAATTGCAGACTTAAAGAGGTGTGAGGGGGGTTTAGGTTGAATACTTGAGGCAGTGAGTATCGATGTAGGAGTTTTGTTTTAAAAAGAAATATTTTAAGGATAAAATAGTAAAAATCTTGGTCAAACTTAAAGTACTTATAAGCTAAAAATTCATAAGCTGGGGCGACCAACTTATGGCTGTTGGCTTATTTTTGACTTATAAGCACTTGGCTTATAAGCACTTTTAACTTTACCAAACGCATAGATAAGCCGAAAAGTGCTTATAAGCTAGTTTGACCAGCTTATAAGCTTAGTCAAACACCCTCATAAGCTGGTCACCCCCAACTTATGGCTTTTCAGCTTATAAGCACTTTTTGTTTGACTAACATTTTTACTAGTTTATCCTTAATAATATTTTCTAATTCACAAAATACTTTTCCCAAAATAAATTTCTTGACTTTCTCTTCATTCTATATTCGTTTCTTTACAAAGAAATTTGTAATTTATGATCTTTTGAAAAACATTCAAGGGTATTGTAGTCATTAACAAAAGAATAGCTTGTCAACTCTTTTTAAGCAAACACATCAACTGCTTATTATCAGTTTCAGCACTTCTATCCAAACACAAAAATGCTTATTTTAAAAATCAATTTCAACACTTAAAAAACTTTTCAGCACTCAAGCTTATAAACTATTTACAATCAAAAGGGAACCTATTTTCTTGATACAGTAACTTTGATAACTCTCTCACTGTAGAAAGGAGGTGTCTCTTGCAATATTATTCTTTTCATAAGGAATTTATTTTAATTTTGTAATTTTGTGTGAAAACTGAAGCCTAGTTAGATTTCTCTAGACAATTTTGTGTAATAACGAACCTTAATATTTGTCATTCAACTGACGGTGTTGTTAGGATCGAAAAAAGTCAGGTGTCATGCGAAAGCTAGCAAAGCAAACCTTCAACAACGATAAATCAGACAACAAAGGAGAAATCTACCAAAAGAGACACAAACATTTAACGTGGTTCGGTCAACTGACCTACGTCCACGACGGAGATGAGCAATCCACAATAATAAAAAGAGAGTACAAAATATCGAGAGAACAACCTCACGAAGAGGCAAACACAAGTGACACACTGACACTTGTCCCGTAAAGTTCTCCCCCTAGACACGACTCTCAAGCCTCCTATGGCTACATTGTGGATGCTACTGAATGAGAAGGAAGGATCCTCAATTTATAG